AATGTGCCTTATCAAAGTCCAGTGTGTGCATCTTTGCTGTAAATTATCATTTTACAAGTAACAACTTCCAGGTTATCAAATAGGGCATACCCGTAAAGCTGCTAACAAGAGCTATCACAGGAGACAGCGAAGCTCGACAAATTAAATAACGGGCGCATAAAAGAAAACCAAACTATGAAAACAAAAACAAAAATAATAAAGAGCAAAAAGAATTTGAAGATTTTAAAGTATGCAGTCTTCATCGAGATATTCTTTCCGCCATGGGTTCTGGTGTGTCCTAAACATGCAATGTGAATATGAAAATGTCACTAAACGGACTAAAAATAGAGATTTTACGAAATCTCACTACAGACTGATGCTTAACATTCAGACAATCCTGATTTAATCAATTATTGAAATTTGGCAACAAACGAAGGAATCGCTGCTCGAAATTGCATTTGAGCTCCATATGTGCTGAAGAGATCCATATGCGCATACTATAAAAATATAGCAACATGATTACGGATCACCTTTACAAAGCAATTTATAATTCATTCTTTTGTGTATCATTCTGTAATAAAAGCTATTATCCGAAAATGACACATTTTAACGAGACGAGCTTGAATAGCAGCCATATAGAAATAAATAAAAGACATTCTGCATATGAAAGGTTTTGAAAAAAAACGTAGATATGGTGGGAAGGCCTTTCTAATTTTGATTTATTGACGTCATGTGTACTCCTATTATTGCATTTTTTCCACATCAAGGAATGTCCTTGCGTAACATCTACATGGTTCACTTGATGCTTATGGTCAATGCCTACATAACAATAATCGTTAGTAATCCACTTAATGATATAAATTTAAAAATCCGTCTTTTGGCATGTCATTAAAATGCTGATAAAACAGCGGTTAGCGTACTACTGGCGCTTCCAAATTATTTACAGCAATGTTTTACTGTGTATTTGGTCATCCAACATACTTCTAATTAGCTCTTATGGTATGGGGTTTACAAAATCGATCATTGACACGTTATATAGTAACCGAGGTTCCGAGTGGGGAATTTATTTTATGAAGAGAAGCCAAATATAAATTGAAATTTTATTCTTATTAAAATTCTTATTTCTGTTTATTATCATGCGCTAAAACAGTTATAGGGCGGCATCTCTGTTTTCCCCTACAGACAATGTTCTCGGCCCATATTCTGTAAGATGTCGCACCAGGCCATGATATTTCCATATAACAGTCTGTCGCAATAACTATTACTTGTGGAATCTTAAAGTGATAAATATTTTAATGAATGCAAACATTATTATAGAAACATATCATATGACCCGATAGCTTTACAAAGTTTAATACTTTCAGTTTGGCTAGCCAAAGTTACATATCCTTTATTAGTGAATTGTTTATCATGCGAGTATTATCCGTCAACATTTTCATGAACTCAAGCCTTTTAATATTTCTACTGCTAGCATAAGCTAGTAAACCCTGTCATTGTGGTGATCAAACACACTAATGTTTCTATTGAACTTTAAATAGCCAAAGTTACGAAACCGTAATGGTTTCTATACATTGGCTATTTAATGACTATATATGGAAGTTGTCCGTAGTTTTGTATATGATTTTTCCCCTACATCACTTATGGATCTCTTTAGCACATATGGAGCTCAAATGCAATTTTGAGCAGCGATTCCTTCGTTTGCAGCCAAATCTCAATAAATGTTTAAATCAGGATTTGTCTGAACGTTAAGCATCGGCCTGTAGTTAGATTTTGCAAAATCTCTATTTTTTAAGTCAGTTTAGTGACATTTACTTCTTTCACAACACACCAGAACCCACGACGGAAAGAATATCTCGATAAAGACTGCATAGAAATCCAAAACAACAATGGGTAAAATAAAGAAGAGTCAGGAGGGTAGAGTCACATTTCGATTTTCTTAAAAAAAAGATTTGAATTTTACATAAATGTTTAAAAAGATGAAAACTCACTCTGTGATTGAGCTATTTTTACAGTCACATCTGGTGTTATGCTTCACATCTGGTGCAGCGGAAATTCACATTTATAATTTTTACCGATGTTCATTTTTGAGATACATATGGGGTTCCACCCACTTGTAAAGGCTTGGGGTCAATTACATTGCAATGTAATGTAACACACTACATTATAATCTTACATGCTTAAACAATTCCCCTATCAGATAGGACAATCAGTGCAGGATATTGAATGAGTGTAAGTTCAATACTGCATTTATTTAACGAGTTAACTACATTAATATTATGTGAGAGTCTGATGAGCATAATATTATTTTACTCAACAAGTTAAATCATATTTAGTACTGAACTTACACAAATATATTATATTTACTATATCTATCAAATACCCAAAATAAAGACTGTTTAAAGTATAAAAGAATCATTTTTCTTTAAAGATCCTGTAACACATTATTTTTATGGTTTTATATACAAATTATGATGCTCAAATTAAGATTTATCGATATTGTAAGTTTCAAAAAACATTATTTATAAAGATATTACCGAATTTAATATTTCATGTAAATAAAGGGAGGTAATTAGAATTTAGTTTTCTATAAATTCTAAGTCAATTTTTCCAATAAGAAATGAATGCATATAATTTGATGATTACCTTAAATATGTACAAATATTTGCAATACATATTTTACATATTCTTCCATGTTTGAAAATTGACAAATTTGCATAATTACATACATATATAATTCAATGAAGAATGGTATGCAATCTCAATTACAAAACATACAGGATCTTTAAAGAGTGAAGCTAACATTTGGCGAGTCTTTAGACTATGTTTGTAAAACACAAATGAGGTCACGTCAAAATTTCTGATACCATTTTTCGAAGTCTCACGAGTATGTGATAAAGTACATTATTTAAGAAATAATATATCCTAAACAGTGATTTTTAAGTCGTTCGGATGTGCATCATAATATCACTTGGGCAACGCCCTCGTGATATAATTCTTCGCATCCGGACTCCAAACAGAGATTTTATCAAGTGATAAAAAACTTCTAATTGGATATATTAATTCGATTCTAAACAACATCAACGTAAAAATGCTGCCATGCCTGCATTTAAGCTAAATTGCGCCTGGTTTGTTTCCGTACTTATTTTCAGTGCGTCGTTTTTGTGGTTACGTCACATGTATAATTATTACGTCACATGTCTAAATATAGAACGTCAACAGTTATTTTATTAATAGTAATAGAAATGAACTAACGTTAGAAATTAATTTTGAGTGCAATTGATGTAGAATAATGCACGGTTCGTGTTCATATGCGCAGGAATATAATCACGAAGGCCGAAAGGCCTAATACAAACCATTTGAACGATAAACAATATGACGTCAGAATTAACGTCACTTAGTCAAACGACTACAGACAAATTACTTCTACATTCGATGTAGTTTAATACATTTTTATCAATAATTTATTCTTTTTTATTTGATCATTAGAATAGACATATATGTTATTTTTTTGCATTATAGAACACAGCATTACAGAACAGAACATATACTTTATTTGGAATGACACAGATTATTTTTATTGTAATATCATGTGAACAAAGTCAGTATAGCAAACAAAGTCATATCAAATAGTATATGAACAAGTGACAGTGATATCATGTTATGCAAATAGAATCTAATCTTTAAAGATGTTTTTGTTTTATGGATATTTGAGAAAAAAGTTTGTCAAATTGTAAAAGCATAAGAAAACAAGTATAATAATGCACGCTATTCTTCAAATGCTTTATAATTAATAACTCAGGCCTGTCAGCCTTTGTAATTATATTTCTGCGGCGCATTTGAATTCAAAACGTTCATTATTTACTATTGCACTCAAAATTGAAACATATTTCCTGAATTGCATTGCTAACATATTTACTCCATTACAAGATCATGGAATTTTAAAATATAATGCAATGTTTTACAATGCAAATGCTCGTGTATACGCCCCTTTTTAGAAATAAATATTTGTTATCTTGAAAACGGCAAATGTAGGATTATTCCATCTATTCCTTGTGTGCAAACACACTTTTACCGTTATACTTATTAGGCATGCCCCACACACATGACCGAGAAGATTATTTGGTACTCATCGTTACAACGTATAGATGTTGTCCCTAATATATACAGGCGTTCTCGCATATTGCATTCGAGTGTTTAGTTGTTATTTGTAGATGTTTTGTAGAAAATAAGATGGTACAAGTACATCCATTATGTAAAAGTACGTACATTTATACCGTAAAATTCGGACTGCAACCTAACAATTCTGTCACTGCTCTGATGACCCAAGGGCGGAATTTCTAATGCACTTTCGATTTCACCACATGATGTTGCGTCATTTATGACAAAATAGGAACGTTTGTCGATAAAAACCCGTTTTATTAACGAAATGCATCTATTTATAAAATTTATAAATTGCAACTTCAAAAGGGGAATAATTCCTGAAATATCGTGTTCAGAATAATCCCCTTGACATACAACTATATCTTATCATCACACTTATTAAAAAGTCGTTTGAGAAGCGGGCTGAATTCAAGTTTACATGACGACGCAGCGGTCATAATAGCTCGACTTTTTCTTAAAAAGCTCTACGGACGAGCAAATAAGACTTTTATTTATTGCTTTCAAATGTGCAAGTATAAATTTGCGTATTCACCAGTGCATATTTATTTGCTGTTTATTGTAATTTCGGATTGTAAAAATATCTATAAATTGTCCGTATAAAACTGTCTAAGCACTTGCATTTTTACTTTAAAAACAATACAATCTTTTTGAAAAAGGATTTTTTAAAACTTTATTCTAGATATCTTGATTAATTTAGACATGCGATTTATATCCAACGATTACACAACGTTGATATCATAACTTAACAGACATTGGAATTTCTTGATAACCACATAACAGAAAGCTCTTGGCCTAAGAGGTCTGATATAGTAAAATAAAACCGAATTAGTTTTCAAATATTTTATCAGAAGGCACGTGGATCTAAACCGAACTTAGAAAATAAAATATTGGTATTTGTTATTAACAAGAATGTACATGCAGGTAACGAGTCTATCATGTTTTGTGTTAATTTTAGCATTGGATGTCAAAGGGGAAATAAGCCAGAAAGATTTTGTAGTTCTGCAATCCAAAAAGGTGACAAACGTACAATCAACGGTCTTTTCACGGTCACGTTTGTTCTGTGCTAAATCGTGTTTGAATGGAGGTAACTGTTCGTCGGCATCATATAATTCCAGCAATAACGAGTGTCTCTTCAGCACTGATGGACTGATTGACATTATAAATGTTAACGACAACAACATGGCCACCATATTGATGAAAGGTATAAATCTTAAATTCTTGACATTTTTGTTGATTAAACAATATGTGTGCAATGCCACACCGTACAATCAAATGGGTAGACAACCGTTCAACGCGTCAATAACCGATATAGTATATACATGTTATTATAAAAAAATAATTAACGGACGGTAATTTAACATATCGCAACTGTGTTCGAATAAATCAATGTTATGTATTCATCGTCAACATCATTTACCCTGTGTAAGCTTTACTTTACGTGCATTATGATTGAAAATAATCACACTTTCCGATGAAATGCGGCATTTTTTTAAAGTCACACAAACTAATGTCCTCTCATGATAATTAGTCATTTAAGATACGATTCGTAAACGTCAAATTTTGTCATTAAATATTCCAAACATTCCTTCAAAAATGTTTTCCTTTTAAAGATATAGGGTATTTAAGTTTGAATGTCTTCAAATTAAGTAACGTCATTTTTACCATTTTAATGAATTTATTACACTGAGATAATCGGTTGTTTATTATTATTATAATATGTTGTTTATTTGATAAAATGATTGCAATGTTATATCAATAAAGTTGTGATATAATAACATGTATAGAAATATTAAAATCTAAATAATCTGGTATGGTTGAAAATATACCAGTTTGCAATGAGAAACGCTACTGTTTAGGTGACACATTCACTTAACCTATGAATATGCATTGTTAAAATGATTGTCATCAATACATTTTAAAAATATAGTATAAGTATGATAATGAGGGATGATCAAAAATAAACCGGATTTGTGGTGTCACTTGAAGAATTTTCACCTATCAGATATTGTTATATATCACCCCAAATAGGTAAGCAATACCTATAAATTCATACTACATTTGTTTATCTAATCTGATAACGCAAATCTAAAAACCACGGAAAAATCACAATGCGTAAATTGACGAAAGGCGATATTTGAGAAGTATATTTTACAAAATGCTAGATTTCAAAATTTACTAAATAGAGGATATTGAATGAGTGTAGTTTAATACTAAATTTATTGAACGAGTTGAATAAAATCATATTTTGCGAGCCTCTGGCGAGCATAATATTGTTTTATTCAACGAGTTCAATAAATTTAGTATTGAATCTACACGAATATAATATTCTATTTATCACATATATAAAATAAGAACAGTAAACTGTTAAAATAAGTAATTTTTCAATGACGCGCCTATAGTGTAACGCCAACATTAGCACCCAATAACGCTATGTTTCTATATAGCGCAAATGACGTCACGTCAAAGTGTTATTACACTAGTGTAATATCGTTTTTATTAAATGGCTTTATTACACTCCTGCGCCGCGTATTATGTGATAAAACGTTATTCGTGATGTCTATGACATTGTCATGAAAATTACGTCATTTAAACAACATTTGCTGTTAAAATGACATCATTAGAAGGCCTTGAAAAACGATAAATAATAAAATTTTGTGAAGAGGAAGGCGGAATATCGTCAAAAACATACACAAGGAAAAAGGCTTTCAAGGGAAAAGGTTGTTAGCAGCACCATAGTTTTAATTGGCATAAATAATTCAGATAAGGAAATAGAGAGATTGCGGATATGGAGGGGAGAGGAAAAAAGTTATAGGGACGTTGCAAGACGTTGAGAAAAGACAGGAGATTGACTGTGCGGGCATTATCAGCAATTCTGATCGGGTTGATCAGGCGGGCGGTGACTTTCTAGGCCGTATCATAACAAAAAACGAAACCTGGCTGTGATTTTATCATCCTGAAACCAAGTAACAGTCAGCAGTATGGAAGAGGGACACTTTATCATTACCAAAGAAGGCACGTGTGTCAAAGAGCGGCGATAAATACATGCTCATCATGTGTGCGGATATGCACGGAATGATCCTGCAATATCATACATTCCCTTGAAAAGAAGCAACACAGTGTCCCACTCAGTATTTTACCCTTCATATAGATAACGCATTCCAGCCGTAGATACCGACCTAGAAGTAGCCGTACTCGCCAGATTTCGACAGCAATAAAGTCACAGTTGAAATGACGGAAGTTAACGTCCCTTCAAGAGCTTTCTATCGCCACACAAAATATTACAAGACAGTACGACACCAACTGGTACATACATATATATAAAGGATCTACGGACAACAACGATGTGTGGAACACGCAGGGGCGTACTTTGAAAAGTAAGAAGCTCAGTAACAGACACTCCGCTTATGTTGTCGTTAACGTCAAACTCTAATATTGTCCAGTGCGACGGATCAACCTTCATGTACATGCTACTTATAACATAACTTTGTTACAGGATATTTGTTTTTGTTGTATCATGTAGCGGGAAGATTTCGCGCTCTTTATGTTGTGATTTATCTTGATGAAATGCGTTAAACATTTAATAAAGCATCTATCAAGTTCGGTTTATTTTTGATCATCCATCGTATACAATTTTACAGATCATTGCCTTGATCAATATAACATTCTGCCGGCGAATACCGTATTACATTCGGAGCAACAATTCAATAAATGTTTTGCTACATAAATACTCTACATATAAGATGTACGAAATTACGAAAATTATAGCTATTTTTATTCCGCGAAAGTTTCTTTTTGATATTTTATGTACTGTTGCAATTTTCAAAATAGTAAGCATTAACTATAAAGTTCCACCATCCTTAGCTCTTTTTCCTAAATGGCCACTAGTAAATAAATACATTGTTATTCAACATTTTGTATGAGAGCCAAAATATCACATTGTTATATTTTGCTCCTTTTACGACCAATATTTTTCACATTCAGCACAATTATCTTAAAGTGATTAGCATGTTTCATGCTCTAATTCCATTATAGAAATATAGTATGAACACAAATGTTTTCTTATAAAGAAAAATTGTAGTAATTTCTGAGGCCTTAAGTTATAGACTTAAGCTTCTAGAAAAATTCACATTTTCTCGCATTCTTCTATTGTTTACTGTAAGTACGAATCTAATTTATGTTGCGTTGAATACTAAATTGCACTACTCTGCAAACTTATTGTTGCGCGCTGTAATGATAAGAATCATGGATAAGTTTGTCATATGAAGAATAATTAAATACGATGTTACTCTTAATTAATAGTGGGATTCTTAGCCAAAAGTAGAAATCAGAATGTCGCGTGTTTAAGGTCTCAACACACGACAGGAATACGAAGAGTAACACTAATTAATTTAAATTAGATAAACAAGCACAACAAAATGTGTGAAGCCTGCTTTGAATGCGTATTTTTTTTAACTAGATCGGATATCTTCTATTTTGTATTTCTTGTTGTTCAGACCTCAAACGTTGACAAGCAACATACTTCAAAATAAGTACTTGATAATGTATGCAACTAATAAAATTCCGAATAATTTGAGCTACAATGTAAAGAAACCAATGCGGTTAATAAAATATTGTGGTGTTTAACTACTTCATTTAATAAACATATTTCTCATTTCAGGAGAACCTAGGAACGACCACTTTGGAACGTCTTTCTTTACTGGCTTCATGTGCAACGGTGAATCTAATTTAGGAACTCCGTACCTGTTAATAGTACCGTCCGTTCCCGAACCGACCAATGTATTTGTAACTATACCATTCCTGGATATATACCAAGAACAACACATCCTCAACAATTTTCTCTATCTTCAATACCCTACAAGTCTGTTGTCGGAGCAGACCACTGTTGTTTCGTATAAGGGTGTCGAAGTCGTATCTGATCATCCTATTGCTCTTTTTTCTATAAACTACTACAACTATTCTATCGGTGGCACGTTGGAAATGCCAAAAGAGAAATGGGGTCAGAAATTTATAGTGGGCTCTCACAATTCTACTATGGCGGGAACAGGGCAGATTCTTGTTATTGCTGCAGATAACAACACAAACGCCATTTTAGATTTTCCTTCTGGCTTGTCACTGGCGGTTGCACTGAACAGATATGAAACCTACCAGTTCCAGGCAAATCTGTATGAGCCAATTGCTGGAACGATTGTATCTGCAAACAAACCAGTGGTTGTTCAAGCTGGGCACCTTTGTGCTAATATTCCCGATCATGATGCAGTCTTCTGTGATGTCATTATTGAAAATATGCCACCTTTAAACACACTTGGTTATGTGTTCGTAGTACCTTACCAGAGAACAAGAGCTATGTACACAATTAACATCGCTTCACCATACAATGGTACCTCTGTGGACATATGGGACATTAATGGAAATCCAGTGGAAACTATTATAATGGACAGTCAAGATTCGATATTTCGGAGCTTCTATGCATCTGAGATATTCTCAATTACATCGTCAGAAAACATTTTAGTCACACAGTATGGTCACGGTTCAAGTAACATTTATGGAGATCCTTCGCTTACAGTTATTCCAGCTCTCACACAGTTTATAAACAGATGTAGCTTTCAGGTCCCCGATATGTTTTTAGATCCGAGTGTTGTTTCTATCGTTATTGATTCTGCCTCCGATGTATCGGGACTTAAGTTAAATGGATCTCCGATTGTCGTAGCTGAATCTGCTAACGTCATTATTCCAGGAGTAGGGTCATTTAACGTCATCTATATCGATGTCACTAGTAACGTAGTGTACTCTCTCTTTCATGACGCAAAACACGTCACGTTTGGAGCGATTTTGTATGCAAGAAACGATGTAGGAGAATATACTACTGTTCTTTGAAAGCAAACGCTCCTAATCTAATAATTGCATAAGCAATAAATTTGTTTAATTAAATTAAATCATAAAATTATCATTATAACATTATTTGGTATTCTGTAGTCTTTTAATTTACTTTAACTACAAAAGTACATGTATAATTGCTATGTTTGTAGTATGCAACAGTTATTGTACAGATGTGTTTGCTATTTTTAGTTGAATATGCAGGCCTATGCAATATTTCTTATGTACCAATTATTTCTTTATATTTTTGTTAACATTATTTAAATGTAAAAACCTTATGAAATATTAGAGATATATGTAATTCATTAAATTGTTCTTTTGTATGGAATAGAGTGGTACATTTTATGTAGAATAAATTGAAAGAGATATTTTAAAGATGAAATTATTTAGACAGCGTGTTTTTTACACATGATAGACAAGCCGGTGGTAACTATGATAATCAGTTGGTTGACAACTCTTCAGTATAAAGTAAAGTTAATGACAGATTAAAAAAGTATTCATTTTCAAATGAGTGGTATCCATTTTAGCTCCATTATTCAAGGAATAAAGAAAGCTATTGTTATCGCTCGATGTCAGCATTGGCTTAAAATTTTGGTTTAATTTTTGCAATTAAGTTGGTATCTTTAAAATATGATAAACTACTGAAAGCGATGAAACATCAAACACTTATTTGAGTGCATAAAAGGAGGTCACTATACAAGGCTAATAGCTCTTTAGTTGCTTGACAGAATTATGGCCCGTTTTGTCTATCAAGCACTGAGAATAGTCTAGCACGCTGTCCTACTGACAATCTCCATAACTGAATAATTACAATAAAAGTAATACATGGCTGGTAGATGTACATCTACGTATGGTACATGTGCATATTATCACATAACTAGGTGTGAACCACAAACACCTCTATTGACTGTATATTAAAATACATTTGAAAATAAAACACAAATCTAGGTTTTTCTGTTTTTCTCTATTTTATTGTCACATCCGTGTTATTTGTGCCGTGTGGCGGCTGTAAAAAGTCTCTCGTACATTTAATCAACGATGTTATATTTTCGTTCATTGAAGATCGATCTGCACGACATTATTGTTGTGTATACATGTTATGTGGTACTTTTAGTTTCCTCTATTTGGTCATTTTCAACTTGGGTGCTACCAGTATTCCTACTTGAATACTGTATAATCACCCTAAGATATATTGCCTGCTTTTTTAAATTTGTCTTTTGACGTCTTATCTGTGATATGCAGGCTTCATAACCTCTGATCCCCTTTCAAAATTCCATTCTATTTAGTTCCGCCCATTGTTTTCTCGTTTAGGGCTCACGCTTTTTATTACTTGGGGGCTATACGCCGCTTTTCATGGAATGGCATGGAAGTGTCACATTGAATGTTCCATGATAACCGCCGTATGAACACATCTGCGGATGTTTCTAATTTCAAAACTTTACTATTGCACATTTAAATGTTGAATTCTGCTTAAGCCGGTGCTAGGGGGCGTGGACGGTAACTTGTACTTTCCAGTACCGTCCATGAACAGGCTCAATCAAACCGAGCCTGCAACATTTTCAATTTTGCCGTGTTGGGCTTTCTTTAGGGATTCTGTATTAATCTATTTCATAATCTCAGATCCCCTTTCAAAATTCCATTTTATTTAGTTCCGCCCATTGTTTTCTCGTCACATTGAAGGTTCCATGATGACCGTCGTATGAACACATCTGCGGATGCTACTAAATTCAAAGTTTCACCATTTTCATGTTAAATGTTGAATTCTGCTTAAGCCGGTGCTAGGGGGCGTTGACGGTGACTTGCACTTTACAGTACCGTCCATGAACAGGCTCAATCAAACTGAGCCTGCAACATATTCAATTTTGTTGTGGTGGACTTATTTTAGGGATTCTGTTTTCTCTATTTCATAACCTCATATCCCCTTTCAAAATTCCATTTAATTTGGTTCCGCCTATTGTTGGCTTGTTTAGGGCACACATTTTTAAATTGGTAACAATACGCCGCTTTTCGTGGAATGGCACTTCCGTGTCACATTGATGGTTCTATGATAACCGCCATATGAACACATCTGCGGATGTTTCAAAATTCTAAATTGCACCAGTTCATATTAAATGTTGAATTCTGCTTAAGCCGGTGCTAGGGGGCGTGGACGGTAGTTTACACTTGACAGTACCGTCCATGAACAGGCTCAATCAAACCGAGCCTGCAACATTTTCAATTTTGCCGTTTTGGGCAATGTTTGCGAATGTTTCTGGATTTTATTGTTCTGCTTAAGCCGGTGAAGGAGGCGTAGACGCTAACTTTCACTTTCAGTGTCGCGTTTTTCAGTGCAGTCCATGAACAGGCTAAATCAATTATGTTAAACAAGATCAACAAGGAAAGGCGGCGTTCAATGAACGCAACCCCCACATGACCCAGCAACAAGAACCAATGGCAAGGAGCCCAGGGGGACCCCTAACAAAAACAGGACAGGGCAAAGACAGAGCACGGACAGGTTAATCATTAAATGATAATTAATTTGTAACTGATAAGGAATTCAAAGAAAATAAAAATAGGCCCACAAAGGGGAAGGGGACAGGAGACCGGGGGGTGGGGGTGGGGAGTAATCAAAGAAATAAAAACTAGAGGCAATGGGGAAGATACTTACCGTAGACGAGAAAACAACAAGGGACACAAGCAAAAGTGTAAAACCGTACCTGCAACATTTACAATTTTGTATTTTGGGTGTTCTGTAAGGATTCTGTTTTCTCTATATGTGGTAGTTAACACAGTATAAAGTATCTTTTGCATATTTAAGAAAACTGTATGTCCAATGAATAAAGCTGGCCAAGATCTAGTTTAGGATACTGGATATACCTTGATTGGCTGCGGATGTTTCTAAATTCAAAATTTTACTATTTCACGTTTAAATGTTGAATTCTGCTTAGCCGGTGCTAGGGGGCGTGGACGGTAACTTGCACTTTCCAGTACCGTCCATGAACAGGCTCAATCAAACCGAGCCTGCAACATTTTCAATTTTGTCGTGTTGGGCTTTCTTTAGGGATTCTGTATTTGTCTGTTTTATGATCACATCCGTGTTATTTGTGCCGTGTGGCGGCTGTAAAAAGTCTCCCCGTACATTTAATCAATGATGTTATATTTTCGATCCTTGAAGATCGTTCAGCACGACATTATTGTTGTGCTTGTGGTATTTTAAGTTTCAACTTTTCGGCATTTTCTGGTTGGGTGGTTCCAATGTTCCTACTTGAGTGGTGTTGAGTCGCCCTTAGGATATGTTGCCTGCTTTTTAAATTTGTCTTTTGACGTCTTATCTGTGATACGCAGGCTTCATAACCTCTGATCCCCTTTCAAAATTCCATTTTATTTAGTTCCGCCCATTGTTTTCTCGTTTAGGGCACACGCTTTTTATTACTTGGGGACCATACGCCGCTTTTCATGGAATGGCACGGAAGTGTCACATTGAAGGTTCCATGATAACCGCCGTATGAACACATCTGTGGATGTTTCTAAATTCAAAATTTTACTATTTCATGTTTAAATGTTGAATTCTGCTTAAGCCGGTGCTAGGGGGCGTGGACGGTAACTTGCACATTCCAGTACTGTCCATGAACAGGCTCAATCAAACCGAGCCTGCAACATTTTCAATTTTGCCGTGTTGGGCTTTCTTTAGGGATTCTGTATTTATCTATTTTATGATCACATCTGTGTTATTTGTGCCGTGTGGCGGCTGTAAAAAGTCTCCCCGTACATTTAATCAATGATGTTATATTTTCGATCCTTGAAGATCGTTCAGCACGACATTATTGTTGTGCTTGTGGTATTTTTGGTTTCAACTTTTCGGCATTTTCTAGTTGGGTGGTTCCAATATTCCTACTTGAATAATGTTGAATCACCCTTAGGATATGTTGCCTGCTTTTTAAATTTGTCTTTTGACGTCTTATCTGTGATACGCAGGCTTCATAACCTCTTCATTGAACGCCGCCTTTCCTTGTTGATCTTGTTTATCATATTTTATCTGTGATACGCAGGCTTCATAACCTCTGATCCCCTTTCAAAATTCCATTTTATTTAGTTCCGCCCATTGTTGGCCTGCAACATTTTCAATTTTGTCGTGTTGGGCTTTCTTTAGGGATTCTGTATTTATCTATTTTATGACACTAAAAGTCAAATTATAGTTACCTGTTTTACATACCTGATGTTAGGTAGCAAGTGGGTCAGGAATTTAAGTTGGGCTGTCGTTAATTACTTGACGTATCATTGGAGCCTTGAGCAATATTTTCCTTGTTTACTGCTGTTAAAATTTTTATATTTGATTGGCTTTTTTAAAGCACATCTGCATTTTCATTTTGTTTTACTTATTTAACCTTTTGTAACCATAACAACAGTTAGAATTTCACTTGGCGGGGATTCATTTTATTTACACTGTCTCGTTTATAGGAACATGGTGGGGCTAAGAGCGAGGTTTGGTGCACCATTAACCGGTTTAAACTCCCCAGTAGTCATTTTTATGCTGCTGACCGTTCCAAGGCGGCGCCACTCTGTGTTCCTCAGATGTATGTCTATGTTGTTTTATACTGTTTTGGTGACACTTTTGCTCGTGTCTCTTGTTGTTTCTCGTCTACGGTAAGTATCTTCCCTTTGTCCCTGGTTTATATTTATTTATTCCCCCCTCCCCCTTCCCCGTGTCTAATGTCCGAAGCCTTCCCCTGTGCCTTTTGACATTGTGGGCCTTATATTAAAACATTTATTTGTTTTGTTTTATTTCCTTATAAGTTACTTATTATATATTCTGATGTGGTGGTTTGCCTGCCCGTGCTCTGCCTTGTGCCCTGTCCTGTTTTTCTTTGGGGTCCTCCTGGGCTCCTTGCCGCTGGCGCTTGTTGCTGGGTCGGGTGGGGGCTGCGTTCATTGAATGCCGCCTTTCCTTGTCGATCTTGTCTATCATATTTTATTGATCTTGCCTATGGATTTTAGATCTAGGTCTCAGATGTGTTAAAAGTACCCTTTTGGTTCTTTACTTGCAGTGTTTACACACATGTATGAAATGATGTATTTTCTAACACAAACTCAAATTTAACACTGAGGTCTTTGCATGTTGCGTTCATTGAACGCCGCCTTTCCTTGTTGATCTTGTTTTTCATATTTTATTAATTTTATTGACACATTTTGACAAAGATCCCTGTATCAGACTGAAGGTCAGGTTACATTGTAATAATCATGAACATTTTTAATACTTTTAAAGAAGCGGGTGTAGTCAAGTTTTCTACCTTGCTTCGTCGGGCCCTTGTAGGCGATTTTCTTGTTGCTCTGTCTTCCTTTAGGACATTGAGTACTTTGTTTATTGTCATTTGGTTTACTTTTATCATGATCATTTTGGTGTTGTACCTATTTAACCTTTTGTAACCATAACAACTGTTAGAATTTCACTTGGCGGGGATTCATTTTGTTGATCTTGTTTATCATATATTATATTCCATCCGGTTTGACAGATACACTTTCCCATTCTTAGAAAGTATTAACATTTTTACAAGTTTGCACGAAATTACTTTTTCATTTTAAAATCACATTTCCTTCTCAGTTATTTCTGACCATTTTATGTTCCGTGCGCTAAAATTCTGGAAACAAAGTGATCCCTCAGAAGCATTAATCACAACAAAATTACAAGAGAATTGCAGATTCGGTTTGATTGAGTCTGTACATGAGGGATAATGAATAAGTGCAACATCCCTCACGCCCTCTAGCACCGGCTTGAGTGGTACTCAATTCTCAACACTTATTAGTGCTGGCAAAAATGATCCCGAAGGACCAGAAAATATAACAACACTGAAGTGTAACATTTGTAACATACATTTGTTATAACAATATGTATATGAAAAAAGTGTCATTTCACTCCCAATTCTCTTAACTTAAGTTACATTTCATTA